TCTTGTGAAATTCCCTTTGCTACTTCCCGCTCCGCATAATCCATAACGAAGCGACGCGCCCGTGTACAAGACCGTCGAAACTCGAGTTTCCTCGAAAGATGGCGCAGAGGGCCTCGGAAGCCATCACGAACAATAGTCTCCTTGATGACATGCAAGTCTTCCGCAAAGTGCTTCTTCGCCGGCGCGGGACTGGGATGCAAGCTACCGACCGAGTCACCCAAAGCGAATCCGCTTTGGATATCAATTGCAAGGCTGATGAAACATCCCTGGATGTCGAACCTTTGACCATCAGGCGGTACACGCTGAAGGAATGTCTGGAATTGCTGCTCGAACATTACAAAATCACAGATTCTGCGATTATTGGACAGCTGGGTACGCAGCTGATCGCGCATTACTCGCCAGTCGAGGCCATCAACCGTAAAGATGCCATGAGGTGTAATGGGATTGAATAAGGGGCCTCGCAGCTTGGAGCTGTCATAATCCGCAAAGCCCGTTGAGAGAATGTGTTTGATGTTGGCAGGATCGCATGTGAAGTGAATGCGATAACCCAGAATCTGAGACATATAAGTATTTCCATATTTCTTGAAAAGCGTATCTGTATACTCGAGTGCGGTTTTATGCCGGAAATGGTGGGCGAATTCGAGCACTTTCAGTACACCCAAGAAGTCCAGCCGGGAGACTTTCTCCTTGACCACATTCCCGCAACCGTACTGTTGCTCGAGCGCGTATAAGCTGTGTGCTCGTCGCAGCTTGAACAGCCACATGAGCACAAGGAATCCTAGTACGGCCAGTGGGAGAGGTCCTGTCGGTAGTCCCATGGTGATGATTGCCTGACTCACAATCCTCAATCTCGATGCTGGCTCAAGAATTCAACCGGCTGTTATTCAACAATGATCTGGTATTAGGAGGAGTGTAAGAGCGCCCGTAGAAGATCAGCGCTAGTTCTTGCAGATAAAAACCCCTATCGTGTCTCATCCCCGCCAAACCGACGCAAAAACATACAGGGAAACCCAGCATCTTGGGGGACCTTCCGTGGTCAATTAGGAAGGCATGACGCGTGAGAGATTCAACATGAACAGAGGCCCCAAGCGTCAGCTGCAACAAAAAGTCACAAAAACAAAACAAAATTCCAAGGACAAAACCTGTCATGGTCAGATGTGATCCATCCTCCTCGACCCACCACACCACTGCACGCCGATCCTGCGCTAGCTATGCACGAGTAGCGCCAGGGAATTGGTCACTCTTGCAACACCAACCAACTGAACATTTCACACTAGCTGAGCACCCACACGATGAAATAGTCTATAGCATCGGTTCGATGAGATTTCTTGTTCGCGGCCCCAAAGTCCGATCAATTCATTCATTGGCTCATCTTCTTTGGAGCTCATGTATATGCCTCAGGCAACTAATCCAACAAGTACATGCGCAGTACTTAGACTGTGCAGAAGGTCTAAAGAACCCTTCTCTCTTGTTTGGGCTCTCAGAGTCAGACTTTCCTTCACTTTGAGTCAGTAAACCGACCGCCCATGTACATTTCCATGGAAGATAACCCACCAAGAAAGCATTAAAGCATCAGTGCACTTCCCGTCTTTCATCGTGTCCAAATCCCACTCGTCGATCGAGAGCGATCGTAATCAGCGAAGGAAACAGAGACCTTTCATACAATGTGCAAGACAAGGGAACTCGCTTCGCTCGTCAAGGACACACTTGATCAAGCGACCGAGTTTTCTCGGGAAACGGTGCATCCAGACGGTCATTGGTGCGGTGAGCTCAAATCCAACGCAACTATCACGTCCGAATATGTCTTTCTTCGATACGCTTTAGGTCTAGATCTGACGGTCAATGGACCTTCGTATGCCTATTGGCTTCTATCTGAGCAGAATCCGGATGGCTCCTGGGGACTGGCTCCAGAGATTCCCGGCGACGTCTCAACCACAACAGAGGCATACCTGGCCTTGAAAATACTAGGAGAAGATATTAACTCTGTGCCCATGCAACGAGCGAGGACGTTTGTGCTTCAGGCCGGGGGAGTGGCTGCTGTCCGGGTGTTCACACGCATTTTCTTGGCCACCTTTGGGTTGTTTCCGTGGACCGCAGTACCGCAAATCCCGGTAGAACTCATCCTTCTGCCCTCTTCGCTGCCAATCAATATATTCAAACTGGCGTCCTGGGCACGAGGAACAATCGCCCCATTGTTGCTTATATGCCATCACCAGCCGGTGTACCCACTGCCAAACGGGCAGTCGGCGAGCAACGACTACCTCGATGAATTATGGACAGATAGCATGAATAAGAACGTACCCTATGGCAAGTCACTTTGGACCTTGGCGGCCGATCGTGACATCGCCGGTCTAGTATTCACCGTTGTCGATAACGTCTTGTATCAGCTCGGGGGATTGCGATCGGTACCGTTCATGCGCACTTATGCTCGCCGCAAGTGTGTTGAATGGATCCTCGACCGACAAGAAACCTCCGGCGATTGGGGTGGAATTTTTCCTCCGATGCACGCGAGTATGTATGCTCTGCTGCTCGAAGGATACCAACTTGATGACGAGCCGGTGCGTCTCGGTTTCGAAGCTCTGGAACGTTTCGCCTGGCAGGATGAGCAAGGCAAGAGGATCCAGGCCTGCGTGTCTCCAGTCTGGGACACGGCACTGATGACCATTGGGTTGTGCGACGCCATGTCCACTGACAAGGAAATGCTCGATCGAGCGGTCAATTGGATTCGACGTCGTCAGATCTTTGACCTGCGCGGAGACTGGCGCGTCTATCGTCCGAATCTTCCGCCCGGGGGCTTTAGTTTTGAGTACGACAACACGTGGTACCCCGATGTAGACGACACTGCAGCCATCATTCTCGCACAGATAAAACAGGACCCGGCGTCGGTATCCTCTTTCTCCGTGATTCAAGCCACGAAATGGATATTGGGGATGCAGAACCCGGATGGAGGTTGGGCTGCCTTTGATGTTGAGAACGACAAGCTCTTCCTCAACAAGATTCCCTTCAGTGATATGGACAGTCTGTGCGACACCTCCTGCGCCGACATCACAGGTCGCATCCTTGAAGCATTTGGGTTGTTCATGCGAACTCCCGATAAAAGCAACACAGTCATACATCTCTATCCTCAGCTTCGTTTGGCTTGCCATCGCGGGATCGACTACCTCGCCACCACCCAAGAGTCTAATGGAAGCTGGTTTGGCCGATGGGGGTGCAATTATATTTACGGCACTTCGCACGCGCTGTGTGGTTTGGCTTATTTTATGGACGAGGATAAACGCGTTCAGAGGATGGTAGATATTGCCATGGAGTGGTTGAAATCTATCCAGAATGTTGATGGCGGATGGGGCGAGTCCTTGCTCACGTATAAAGACCCAAATATGCCGATCAAGCGCCACAAGTCCACTGCTGCGCAGACTGCCTGGGCGCTGATGGCGCTGTTGGCATATTTGCCACCCACAGACGAGGTGATTGAGCAAGGCGTCAGGTATCTCGTCGATTCAATGGAAGTTGTCGGCCGGAAGACGGAAGAATGGACGGAGAAAATGCACACGGGAACAGGGGCGGATAATATACAGACGGGAACATGGACGGATAAAATGTACACGGGAACCGGGTTTCCGAATCATTTCTATCTGGGATACGTGTATTACGCTCATTACTTTCCCATGATGGCGCTGGGAAGGTATATGCGGAAAGCCTCGGCTCAAGGATGATGGCACGCGTGGCGGACTGTTCTGTAGTAGACATGAGGACTTAGCATACCATGAACATAGTGACCCATTCCAGCTCTTTGCGTGTAGCGGTAGCCTACCTCAGTCCAAAACATGCAGCAGGGTCGAGGAGAGATTATCAAGGACAAATCATCCTAGTTCCCTACACCGACTGCCAGTCGTGCTTGGTAAAGTGCATCGGAAGGTCGAAGGGCGTGAGGCGAGTGCTGTAGCCACGAACTCCCGCAAATGTGCACTTTAGAAGGCGATCGTTGCATTATTGGGCTGTTCTGAGTCGTGCCTTCAAGGCTCTTTCATGTGTCGTGGCTAGGGTCATGTGGCCATGATGACGGTCTTACCAGTGGCTTGTACTTCCATCCGGGGTAAAATCGCTCTCTATGTCATTTCAAATGATTAATGACGTGCCTTGGAGTAGGCAGAATGTTTCCTCTGCATCTTCGGGCATACAGAATGATATCCATACAAGTCAACGAGAAGAGAAGAGAGACTGTGTGTCGCAGTCCGCTTCCACGCCACCTTCTTGCTTCGACCTAATCTCATCACAGCGACTCATCTGCGACTTAGTTTTAATCTGCGCTTTGTCGAGCGTGCGAGTGAAACTGGAGGGTGGTCTGCGTCGACATAGTCACGATGAAAGGTCTTTGGTTCCATTCTGCGGCGTAGAGAAACGACCATAAGTTAGCAAGCAGCTCAGATAGGATTCCTGATTGCATGTTCGAGTACTGTTTGTACAGAAGGATGCGAAGAACAAACAGTTGCTTTGATTACGCCAGTGTCGCTTCCAATATGTTCCTAATCCCCACGGAGAGACAAATTGGGGAGATTCATGAGAAGGTCAAAGATGTAGGGTCATCTCTTGATGAGAGCGCGGATGAAGTGTGGATAAAGTCAGGATCAGGTGAGGATCAAGGCATTGTCGAGAGGATGTCATGGTAAACTGCGTGAAGCTTCAAAGAAGAAGTTGAGTCGTTTGCAAAGCATGCCTGACCTGGAGTTTACCGTGCCTGAGGCTACGAGGCTGGAAATGTGATAGTAATACACCAGAACCCAGTCCACCATCCCTCCTCTTCTTCACCTACGCGACACCAGTGACTGCACATTCTTTCATCAGAAGTACTCATTACCCCTGTCACCGATGAAAGAGCTTTGATTGTCCTCAGCTCACCTCTCATTGCAACCTGAATCTTTTCCTTGCAAAGCCATCGAGTCTCTATCCACGCTGCCAGAAATTCTCACAACCACATCTCCCCACCGCGCCCCACAGCTACAATGACTCCAAATACATTCCCGCAGTTTGCAAAGCTCCCCACTGAGCTCCGCAGCATGATCTGGGAATTTGCGCTCCCCGACAAGCCAATCGGGCCCTTCTTGTACCCCTACAAGCCAGGATACTGGAGCCCTCGACGACTGTCAGCAATCGGAGACCGGGACGATTACTCTGATTTAGCGCATAGATTGGTCGACCCCGTCCAATTCTCGATGCCACTTCTGCTCGTCAATCGTCAAGCCCGCGCCATCGCAGAATCCTGGATGGACGAAAACAGCGTGCAGATCCGCTACTACAAGGACACCGAATCGCTTGTCTCTGTCTGTGCCTTTCATCCCCAGCACGACGCGCTCTATGTTTCCTCCGAAAATTGGGAGCCTTTTCTAAGCGAGATGAGAAGCCTCTATGACAAGGGTTATCAGTTGCCGCGCCTGGCAGATATCCTCTTGGGCGTGCAACGCCTGGCGGTTCCTCTCAGCGTTCTTCAGGCTCACGAAGACACGTTTCCTTACGTTGTCAACATTTGCCCGTTCATTAGGAAGATTTTTGTGGTCGCGAATTTGCGACCGGATTTGCTGTTCGCTGGCGGCGACGACAGCAACCTGCATGCGCGTTGGGAGCTAAGAAAGACAGAGGTTGCTAGGCTCTGGGGTCCTGGACTCGACAGATCTTGGTGCGGGTTTACTCGTGGTTACGGACCGGGGGGTTACGTCGCCGACTTGATTGACAGAGGAGCGGACGGTCTACAAGAGATGTTTGAGGACTGGGACCCGGAACGGCGTGAGGGAAAACGCTATGTGTTGCGGGCTGTCTATGCAGTCAGAAATGAGCATCAATAAGGAAGTTGCCATAAGTTTGACGTGTGTGTCGGGAGCTGGAACTCGGATCTGTCACGAAGGAATAGGGTCTGTTTACTGACAGAGAGATGAGGGCGACATGTACCAATGTGATCTCGAGCATTTAGAGCCAAGTGATTCTTCTAGCACAAGAATGCAATGTTCCTGAAATGAAGATATGTTCAAGCGAGGAAAACATCCCGCAAGCCTACTGTCACCAGCGAAAAGAAATCAACACCCCCCCGTAGCACTCGACCCAACACAAACCTCACCCGTACAATTGAATCCTACCGTCCCCTCCACATTCCCACAAAGATAATCATCCGCAGCGGTCGAGCTCCCCGTGACCCGCAGACTCACATCCTCGACCGTGATATTCTCGCACGGGGCCACCGCACTGCACTGGAAGCTGATAACATCCGTCGAAGGCAGCGTGCCCGAAACATCACTGAAGTACAGATCCCGGACCTGGAACTTGGAGTTCGTGCAGTTTCCCGAAGCGCCCGAGAAGGTGGTGCATTGCGATACGGTGAACGGGGTGCCCTTGAGGTTGTTGAGCGACAGGTCCGTCGCCGTGACGTCGGAGATATCTAGTGTTTGTAAGCCTCAAATTCAGGAATGGAGGATAGAGGAGCGACGTACACCCAAGACCGCCACCCCCGCCGTTCGGCGGGTATCCGACCTGATCCCCGGTCCAGGTCTTGACATACACGGCGTGCGTGGTCTTTTGGTACGTGCAATTGGAGACGCGAACGTTCTCCACTGTTTCGAACTCGTTCAAGTACTGCCCAATGCTACCGATTGAGATGCCCAGGCCAGTGGAGAAGGTTGAGTCAGCGATGGTGATGTCAGTGGAGTTGCCCTTCAGACTGATGCTGTCGTCGCCGTTGACAACCTGCCAGTTGGTGAAGGTGATTCCGTTGCTTCGGATTGTGTTGGCTCCGTCAGTATTTCCTATTATCGTTAGTTGAGTAGCACTTGACTTGATAGAAGGATAACCATACTAGAGGAACCGCCATTATCGTTAAGGTTGTTAACATAGATCGAATCGAATAGCAGGTTCTCAGAGTAGATTATGGACATTGTCCTATCCAGTCAGTCTTGATCATTGGCCTGCGAGGTTCTCTGGTGAACAACATACCACATTTGACTCTGCACAAATCTCAACCCCTTGAACGTCGAGTCTTGTGCTGTGACGGTCAACTGATGCGGTCGCCGTGGGTAGTTCGACACGCCGGAGGTATAGCTGTACCACACTGGTCCACTGCCATTGAATGTCCCGTAGCCGTGACCGTCGAAGACAATATCCTTACCACCCAGGATCCAAGCAGTGGATTGGTTCTGGTAGCCGACGTCGAGGGAGTTGGCAAGCCAGTAGCTTATGTTTGTGCTCCACTGTGAAGCTGGTTAGTGATTACCATGAAGAAGGTGAGAAATGCCTACCAGAAGAGTTCCCTGGAGGTCAATCTCGACATCATTCAGCCAGGTCGTGTTCATCACCGAGTTGATGTGGTAGGTGGTATTGCTGAAACTCACCCGCCCACCATTGCCGCAGGTTGTCAGAGCATCGAGGATGGCCGGCACATCATCGACGGCGGTCGAGTTTCCGGCCGGGACAAGACAGGTTGCTCGCGCGCGTCCACTCTTGGTGGTATCTGACAGACCAAATGTGGGTGCTATGAGCGAGGAAATGCCAGCAATGCAGGTCAGCGCACGGGACAACATCCTGAGCTTCGTAGAATGGAATTGATTTTGCTTGCCGAACACATGAGTTCAAAGGCCAGGAAACTCAAGGTGCTTTATAGCTCATGAACAAACCATTATGTTTTTGTACCTACCTAGTATACTTCACATCCTGAGTCAGTGTTGAACATCATCATGCTAACCCCTCAGACTCCGGGGTAATTCAGCCCGACCCTGCCAAAACTTGGTTCCGTGATAGGTGCAATTTGAGACCCAGTTTCTCCACGATCTGCAGCGCCAATCAGTATTGAGGAGAGCATCCCCCAGTTTCCTCGGCACGTTCAGGACTGCTGACACCGAACCTTCAGCGGAACTTAAGGTAATTCGTGGGGTCGATGGGGCCGTGCCTGGATCCTGCATAAGCGACTGCGAGACATGGACGCGGGGTGCAGCTCTTGGCGTGCTGGGCATGAGCTGACGATACCACCCAAATTTAAGTTCCATTCTGCCTCTGGATCTCTTGTTCATTTCGGATTTCTCGATTTACCCGGACGCGCCGTTAGCCTTGCAGAAGAAGGGTTGTGATAAGTGTCTCGATACAACATATTTTAAAAAAGGAAGAACCTTGGTCAAAAACGGCAAGGGGCTTACTGCGATTCTTTCTTCCTATTTTAGGTGTCTGAGGAGGCCGTCTGAAGTTTCCAATGCATGTACTGCAAGAGAGAGGTGAAGTGGGTCTCCAAAATAGTTGACAGCAACTCCGCAACGTTTTCATGGAACCTTCTCCACAGGAGCTCTTGAGCGGATACATTGGAAGGTTTTTCAGCCTTTCATGTTGATTGGGAAATATAGTCTACAGTACATAAATACTCCTAGCCACTATGCTCACAACTAAACTGGAGGCTCACTCGATTCGACTCGTAAACCTCAACATTGCAAGGTCACCTCTCCGCTCATGCAAAAACAGTCAACCGAAAATGCACGCAAGACTTCGTCTAACATTTCGATTCTGCAGAGTGGGCCAAAAAGATACGTACTGCTGCTCCTTCCAGCAGGATGCTAAGCTGCATATTATACTGTCCACACTCTTTCCCATATAAGCATGCCCATCTTTCAAAGATCCGACGTGCCAGATATCATGGACAAAGATATATTTCACACCAAAATCCATGCTATCTGCAATAGCATCAATCGTGACTCCCCACGATTCATAACTGCACGACGAGCGGTGAACCAAGAAACCAAGCCTCCACTATCTCAGCAGGGTGTGCACTCAAAACCCACCGACAGATCATACGATATCTCCCACGAGAACCCTCTCCCACCACGGACCGCGGAGAAAGCGAACCGCAACAAAAAGTGGATCTCGTCCGAGCCCCGAACCCTACTAGGTGCAAACCGCCAACCAGACCGCCGGAAATTATCAGCCGGCGGGGCCCAAGAACCCGGTATCGGCTCCGAATCATTATCTGATCGGCAACCGCCGTCCATCTAGCTCTGATTAGGGCTGGCCACGACAGCGCGAGGACCCGCCTGAAGATACGGAGCAAAAATTCTTAAATGTGCTTACTCGCTCATGGATTTATTTAATTACGAGGGCTGCATCCTTTTTCAACACGTACCCTGAAAATGTCAGTCGACCCAGCGACGGTAGCAGGGGCTGATGCCCCGGCCAGCCAAGCTCCAGCAGTCTCCACCGTCAAAGAGGGCGAAGCGGTGATCGCAGACCGTGAACTGGAACGCGGCCCACAGAAGCCGTACCGGCCCACCAGATGGCAGAGCAACCTGACTATTATCAGCTGCGTACGCTGACTCCTCCCTGCCCGAAGAGAATACATTCTAAACCGTGTGACAGTACATCGCCAACTTCAGCGACGGGTTCCAGAATCAACTGGCCAACCCCACCAATGTCATCTTCACCCACCTGCTGGGGAAATCGGGCTACCCCGCCGAGATGAAGACGCGGATCAGCAACTCGCTGATCATCGGGGCCATCCTTGGGGTGCTGGCGCTGGGGTACATCTCCGACATGATCTCCCGCCGGGCGGGGCTGCTCTTCACCTCGGGGCTGGTGGCAGTCAGCACCCTGATGGCGGCCGTGGCGCTGGACGTGCACCCCTCCCCGAACATGCTGTGGTACTTTGTCATCGTGCGGGGGATCTGTGGGTTTGGGGTTGGGGGCGAATATCCCCCCAGCGCTGCTGCCGGCCTGGAGGAATCCGACGATGTGAGTTCCTTCTCCACCCTGCACCAAGAACAGCAAGAAGGGCAACTGTATAGCTCAGGCATCGGACCTAACCACGACGCAGTTCAACCGCCGCTACCGCGGGCCCGTCTTCGTCTCCTTCACCACCCTCATGGCAACACTAGCCTCCCCGATCCTCATGATCATCTACCTAATCACGCTGAAAGCGAGCAACAACAACCTCCCGGTAACCTTCCACGCAATCTACGCGATCGCGACCCTCATCCCAGCAACGATCATGGTGCTCCGCTTCTTCATGACGGACTCAACGCTGTACCACAACAGCAACTTCAAGCGGCAGCGCAAGCCGCTGCGGTTCTACTACCTGCTGGCGCGGCGGTACTGGCGGCGGCTGGCGCTGACCTCGCTGGCGTTCTTCCTGTACGACTTCATCAACTTCCCGAACAGCATCATGTCGAGCAGCATCATCGCCTCGATGGTCACGGACGGCGACCTGCAGACCACCGCCGTGTGGCAGGTCATCCTGGCGGTGCTGCCGGTGCCCGGCGTGGTGGTGGGGGCGTACCTGACCAACGCGATCGGGCGGCGCTGGACGGGCATCGCCGGGTTTGCGGGCTATGTGGTGCTGGGGTTCATTATCGGGGGCTGTTATACGCTGTTGTCGCGGCATATCGCCGCGTTCGTCGTGCTGTACGGCCTGCTGCAGGCGTTCGGGCACATGGGCCCCGGCGCGACGATCGGGTTGATCAGTAGCGAGTCGTTCCCCACCGCGATGCGCGGCATGGGGTACAGTATCGCGACAGCGTTTGGGCGCACCGGCGCGGCGGTCGGGACGGAGTGTTTCACCCCGTTGCAGACGGCGGCGGGCGATAGCGCCACGTTCTATCTGCTGGCGGGTGTGGCCGTGCTGGGGATGGTCGTGTATTGGTTTCTGCCGGAGAGCGGGGAGTTGGATCTCGAGGCGGAGGATCGCGAGTTGGAGAGGTATATGGGGATGCATGGGTTTATGATGGAGAAGGGTCACTAAGGAAGTGGGGAGGATGCTCGCTGATTATAATGAGAAATGATGTGGTCATGATTATGAGAGATGTTGCAGCAGAAAATATGCAGTTGATCTAGGCATTGTGGCATGTGCTACTAAGGATAATACACGAACTCATTTATATCCAACAAGAAATCACAAAAGAGCCCAGTGAATCCATTATATCCACATCTTGAAAAAAAAAAGAAACAAAAACATTTAAAAAAGGTATCTCGGCACACATCCAACCCCCATCATTGATTAAATGTATATCGCATCATCCTAAACCACCTCTCACCATCCATTAGCACGTCGAATCATCTCAGACAAAAATCACTGAACTAGACTTACCATGAAGCACGGGTACTTTACCCTCAACAGGTCCCAGCTCACCACCTCCCCCCGCGTCCACCAAACCCACCCCCACCGCCATAATGGCCACCACGACCGCCACCAAATCCCCCCCGGCCGCCGCCACCACCACCCCACCCGCCAGGACCGCCAGGACCGCCCGGGCCCCCGAAGCCACCGCCGCCATGGTGGTGATGATGATGATGATGATGACGACCACCACCGAATCCACCCCCGCCGCCCATTGGCATGCCCCCACCACCAAATCCCCCAATCGGTCGGACCGGAGGTCCGCCCATTCCGCCGCCCATCATGCCCCCGCCATGACGGCGACGGTTGCCCATGAGCGACATGCAGGTTCCCATTTTGTGTTCCGGTAGAAGTAGGTGTATATCGCGAACTGTCTAGCTCGTAACAGCAAGGTGGAGGAAGAGGTAAAGTAATTCGTGATTCGTCTAGTAGCAAGCGATGATTACAGAGGACGTAATATCGTGTAGAGTAGGTAGCGTCTATCGATGCGTTGGTTTGTGAAGTATGATCTCAACACAATTCGTGGAAAGAATCTTGTAATCACCAAGCAATGGTATTTGTAATCTTGTATTCAATGAATGTCTTGTCCCCGGGAGGACAAAATCCTCCAAGGTTAAATACCTAAACCCCCGAGGGCAAAAAGTATTACGCGCGGCCTGGTTCCTGGGCATGCGAAGTCGTTGCGTCATCGGCGCGGCGCAGTCGCAGGCTATACTCGGGGTTGGTTGGTGCAGGGTGGGTGACATCAGCGGGACACCACCCTCGCTCGCCCTGTAGGGCTGGGTTGGCGCGGGCTTTATTCCGGTTAACCTTATCTTTTTTGCCCCCATGTTCTTTGACCACGGAATTGGTACACACGTAAGGACGGAAGAGATCGAAACTGGAACAATGTAGAAGGAAACTTGAGAGAAGATTTCATCCGACCGGTTCATGAGTTTTGTTCCTCCGGTAAGGTAATATGCGAGACGATACTAATAAATGTATGTAAACTCCAACTCCGCATCCCCGGACTGCACCCGCCGGCGGTCCTCCATCTTCCCCTCCAAGATCTCCGCCTTGACCCGGTTCTCCCGGCGCAGATACAGCGCATGCGCCGTCACCACCCCCTGCGCGACGACCAACGCACCCATTGAGAACGAATTGCCCAGCACGTACGGCGACGACCGGTACACCTGGCCCGCCACGATGCCCGCGCAGTTGCCGACCGTCTGCTGGAGGCCGACGGCCAGCGCGCGCCGGTACTGCGGGGCGAAGTTCACGTTCAGCCACGCCACGTTCAGCCCGACGCCCGTGTACACCGCCACGCCGCAGAGGTAGGTGGCGAAGTACTTGACCGGGTCGGAGGAGACGGCCAGCAGCAGGATGTAGCCCACGATGCCGAAGATGTTGGTTCCGACGATGAACTGTTTGACGGAATCGGGTCAGCTCTACTTATCGAAGAATTGAAGTGGGGCGGGAGGCATACGACTGCGAATTTGGAGTACCGATCCGCGAAGAACGCGACCGTGACAGATACTGCGGCGGCCCAGATGTACACCGGGACGGTGAGCACGTTGCTCATCAAGGAGTTATAGCCTAGACTCCCGAGGATGGTCGGTAAGAACGTGCTGAACCCGTAAAGCAGGATGTCTTGACAGAATTGAGTGATGGCGCTGAAGATGAGCTTGGGGTCGCGCAGGGCCAGTCGCATCTCCTCCCAGCTGAAGTTGTCGCTGCCCATGTATTTCTGACGCTGAGCGTTGCGGACGCGCATCATGTACCGCTCTTCTTCAGTGAGGAAGTAGGCGGTCGTGGGGTCGTTGGGGAGACCAAACCAGATGAGCAGCGCACAGATGATGCTGAAGAGGCCCTCAATGATGTAGACCCATCTATTTGATTGTGTTGTCAGTTGCGTGACACTAGGGTCAGAAGGAAAATGTATCAGGGAAGATCTACCTCCATCCAGCTTTCCCTGCGACACCGTCCATGTGTAGTAATGCGTAAGCTAGCAAACCCCCGACTGCACCAGAAATGGCGGCGCAGCTCATCAGGTACGAAACTCGCTTAGCTTGCTCCTCACGCCGGTAGACCATGGTCAGGTATAGGTTCAGACAAGGGAAAAGGCCCGCTTCGCAGGCTCCGAGGATGAGACGGGTGGCGTAGAGGGAGGCGACATTATGAATAAAGCCGGTGAAGACAGTGGTGATAGACCAGACTATGCACAGGCCCGTGAGGATGTTGCGGGGTGTCAGCTTCTTCATCGCGACCGCCCATGGCGACTCAAGCAGGACGTAAGTGGCGTAGAAGATCGAGACGGCGATGGAGAACTCGTTGGTGGAGGCCCCAATGTCCTCGGGCATTCCGGCTACCTTGACATTGCCTGGGGAAGGGATGATCAGCATGATGACCATTTGAGCTGGGGACAGCAGGGACAGCACACACCAATGTTGCTCCGGTCGAGAAAACAGGACAAATAGGTCAACATGATGATCGGCACGAAAGCAAAATCCAGCTTCAGGAGAAGTTTCTTCTCCTTGACTGGGTCAAGAACCACATCGTCGATGTCGCCCAAATCGGTTTCCTCGGTGGTGTTCTGCGGGGGTGGTTTCTGGACCGTCTGTTTACGGTCCAGAGGGATATCGTGCGCACGTTCGAAGGACATCAGTGCTACAATTGGGTAAGGTAGAGATTGATGATTCTAGAAAGCTGTCACCCAGACCTAGAACACTCAAGGGGGCGCCAGGGGCGGCATTAAGAACCGTGGGAACATCACGGTTCTGGTACTTGTCAGAGTGACATAGATGCCCGGCGATAAGGAAGGGGAAGAGGGGAGTCTCCAAACCGGCTATCTCCAACCCCGTACGCCAATCACCGGCAATTGACAAAAGCATTCACCAGGGTTACACCTGCATCGGCCCGATAGTCTGATAAGCGGTGGAGATAGCGAGGCTGTCATTGGTGCAGTGCCACGAGTCGATGGGGAGTTGATGCGGGGATCGACTGATGCTTATCATCGCCATCCCGCATATCGGAGCCCACATGCCGATACCACTGATATGGGGTATTCACCTTCGAATATGGCTATCAAAGGAGTTGCAAAACATTATATCAATGGGAGAACTTTACACAGACACGTCAATCGACAATCCTAAGTTCTGTTCGCGAACGACAGCACAATGACCAAAGACACGCTCCTCAACCCACCCGGCCTGCAACCCAGCGCCATCACCGAATCCTCAAAAACAACCACCACACTCCCAAGCCACCAAGCCCGCCTGGACAGCCGCCACAACCTAATAACCAACACCTCCGGCCTAGCCCCGGGCTACCTGCAAGCCAACCTCCTCATCCTCCCCGCCCGGTACAGCCAAGACTTCCACCAACTCTGCCTCCGCAACCCCGTCGCCTGCCCATTACTAGGAATTTCCCGCCAACCAGGCAACCCGTACCACATGCAGCCCTCGGGCTGCATCACCACCCCAGAAGACTTCGATATCCGCACCGACTGCCCCTTATACCGGGTCTACCAGCACGGCAAACCAATCGCCACGCACCAGAAGAATCTACTGCCGTTCTGGCCGGACCCGAGGCACACACCCTCCCCACAGCATGAAGACACCGAAAGGGCAGAAGAATACGTATCCTTCCTAATCGGCTGCTCCTACTCCTTCGAATCCGCCCTCACCGCCGCAACCCTCACCCCGCGCCACCAAATTAATGGCTGCCTCGTGCCCATGTACCGCACCACCATCCCGCTCCTCCCCGCCGGCATCTTCACGGGCGCGCGCACCGTCGTCTCCATGCGGCCGTACCCCGCCCACGCCGTGGAGCGGGTCCGCGCCGTCACGCGGCCGTTCCTGGCCACCCACGGCGAGCCGGTCGATTGGGGGTGGGAGGCGCTCGCCCGGTTGGGGATTGCGGATTTGCAGGCGCCGGATTTTGGGGAGCCGGTGCCGGTGGAAGAGGGGGAGGTTCCGGTTTTCTGGGTGCGTATGTTCCTTGTTTGTGTTTTCGTTACGTTATTCCCCCGGGGAAAGGGGAATGTGCGGGGGATGTGGGGCCTTCACGGGCTAGGGAAGTTTGTTTGCGGTTCAGGTTGGGGGTTTTCTTGCTAATTTGGTGATGCCAATAGGCTTGTGGGGTTACGCCGCAGTTGGCGGTGGAGGCTGCCGGGGACAAGATTGAGGGGTTGGTGTTTGCGCATGAGCCGGGCCATATGTTGGTTACGGATTGGAGGGAGGAGGATCTGGTGCGGTTGGGGCGGGGTCTCGGGGTTTGAGGAGGGTGGGTAGTTGTAGAGGTGGGTTGGGTGGGAATATTATGCTAGTCTTTCAGAAAGTAACGATGCTTATGACAGAGAGAAGATTCGTTCAATGACATGACTCGACCACTGTAGCACATTTATCAATTCATCATATACTAGTAACATTACTGCCACCGTCAACCACCTTTTGGTCCACACCCATCACCCCTCCCATCATTATGCATCGCAACCACGGCCGTTACACAAGCAGGTTATGTACTTCATTCCCCAATTCACACGCCGTACACGACAATCTCACTTCTCCCTCTCCTCCCCGGTAGTCCCCAGCTCCTCCTCGATCTCCAAACTAAACCTCGCAAATTGGCTCCGAGCCCGGATCTGCTCCCCATAGCACATGAATAACACGGGCACGGCACAGAATACTGTCGCCAGGGCCGCCAGCACCGAAACCGCAACATTGGCCCCCAGCCCATCGAACATCTGCCGGGTGAACAGCGGGAATGCCCCGGAGGTCATCGCCCTCAGGAACTGGATGGCTGCCGTTCCGCTCGCTGCATAGCTCAGGTAACTGTCGGACAGATACCCGTATAGCACGGTGTCGAATTCGTTGAGCGCAAACCCGATCATGACGAGGGCGATGGTCGGCACGATCCAGGGCAGGTCGGTGACGCGCGGCGGGATCGTCCAGGCAAACCACCAGAGCGCCAAGGCGAAGACGGGCGCCCCAATCACCAGCCCGTACAATTTGTCTTCGGGCTTCACAGGCTGCTTGGCGGCCTTGCGGGCGTCGAAGATGCGATGATCCAGAAAGCGCGTGAAGGTGCTGAAGACTACCCCGACTCCGATCGCCACGAAAGCCAGGCAGGACTGGGCCGAGGTGTAGCCCATTGACTCGTAGATGGGCTGCAGGGCTTCGGTGAAGATATAGACCAGGGAGAAGGAGAAAGCAATCATGGTGGCGACGATGAAGATGAGCAACTCGCCGAAGAAGAGTTGCAGGGGGCGGAACAAGGAAACGCGGACGAATGTTCGGAAATCCGGGGTGTGGTCGGGATTGAGCGGCTGAAGGGTCTCGTTGCCGGTCTCGTGGCGGATTCTCGCGACTTCGCGAGAGAGGAGGAGAGATGGACGGGATTCTTTGATGACGAGAAAGAACGCGGTAAGGACGGCAAATATGATGGCGTAGATGTAGAATACCCAGCGCCTAGAATGATTAAGGATATCAGTCAGTAGTGCTACAGGTGCAATGCAAACGCCGGAACATACCACTCCATGTGAGCAGAGATGTATGTACTCATGATAGGCCCCAGCAGTAAGCCGACGTTGGACGCAATCGTCCAGATAAATATCACCCATATCCTGGCCCGCGAATCGAACATCTCCTCAATGCTGCCGCCCCCAACAGTGTAGGGCACCGCTGAGAGACATCCCGCAATGATACGCGCCGGAATCACCGCACCCAGCGAATGCGTCATCCCAATAACCAAGCAGCATACCGCACTTCCCGCAGAACTGATAATGTAGAGGTTTTTGCGGCCAAAGGACTCCGACCACGGTGGAAATATGATTGCTCCGAATATCTGGCCCACCAGAAATCTGACTTGTCAGTATCGTCGAGGTAGGTCCGGCATTAGAAGAAATCCCTTACAGTGTCACAAAGATAAACGTTGCAAGCGTATTCCCGAGGTGGTAGTCAACTTGGGCCTTTTGAGCCGCCAATGTCTAGACACGTTAGAAACGCCCGACAATATACAGCGAGACAGGGGGTCGAGGAATTACTCCGGCTGTGCTTGTAGCAGTCCTATTAGCTGTTAGCGTTTGTCCTTCCTTCATTGCATACATGGCGGTAGCCATACGTGAATGTATCCAGAAGAAAGATGATACTACTGTCAAAGGTCTTCCGGCTGGTGGGCCAGTTGCGAGGCTGCTTCTTGTTATACTTGCCCCAGCGGACGTACTGGCCGTCGGCTGTGAGGTCAAGTTGGTTCTTGAGCAAGTACTCATCCATCGCAACAGATTCAGAAACCATGGACGTCAATTCAGTCTTCATTGTGTCGGAGGTGATTGCCTGTGGAAAGCTTCCAAGGCCAGGAAAACATATAGATAGACCTTTCACGGGGAGAATATCCCGGGCCATGCCTGGTGGAGGCTATAGCAGCTACCGCATTTCTCACAGCCAGCCATGCTGGAAAGATCGACACAGCTGCCAAGTCGAGCCCCCCTTGTTGGTGATGCTGGACGTCATGACCGCGTGTATCTTCCGAGACCAAGATGATGTGATAGGCCACGCCTGTCATGACCGCAGAGGGACATCGTCCTCCTGAGATTGAGGAGCCAGGTGATCATTATGGAGCTCTCGAAGAAGTTGCTCTTGAAGGTCGACTAAGCTTGTCTGTGACTTGGAGGGGTGAGCAAGGGATGAGCGACCGACGTCTGATATGCAGGGCAATAGTCGATGCGACCATCTTCTTCCATAGATCATATGAAGTGTGTCTTTGATGTAGCTCTGGGGAATGCCCCGTCTCTCAGACCTGACAAAGCATTCTCAGAGATACAGCATCCTGATCGGAGCTTATCATCGATAGATGTTGTATCTTTACCTCTCAGGTGAAGTGGTAAAAGTAACGGGTTGAGAAATTGGCGGAAGTGGAAGAACATTCCACGCCGGACGATGCCTGGGGCTCCCTTCCCTCTTTAGTTCCCTCCAATGCAAGGGGCGCATGAAAGATGACGAATAAGGCGCATACAATGCGTCTGCTCGGAGAATTTTCTATTACCATATCCAGGCAGTCTCTCCTATAGTTTCCTTGAATCAGCTTCTCATGCATGACTTGCCTATCCCTTGCCCCATAATCTTTTTCCCAGGTGACCTTATTTGCCCGTGAACCCGCCAGACGCACGACCACATGCAATTTTCGCATTGTGTGCATAGCATGAGATACTGATGCATAATTCACAGATCCGTGAAATAAATGTGGGGACTGAAGTCGTTTGCAACTTGGTCATTTAGAATTCTCCATGTCCGTGGCGATCACGCTTTTTGTTCGTCAGCCTCCATTAGAGAGAGCTACTATCTACATTTGATAGCCAAGACCTCGACTGAGGTGATACATCCTACGTGGAGGCATCACCCGTCCAGCGTGCATGCTATTACAAGTCAATCGATGTCAGCGATTCAACTGTACGAGCTAGGAATTTGCTCTCTTCCGGAAACCAAATTGGCCAGTACAGATATATCATGCTACAAACAGGCCCAACATCCAAACCTTGGACAAATCCAATTCTCCGAAGACGGAGATACCGAGCCCGGACCCCGTGTCCGCCCCGAGACTCATCTCCGTTCACCAAGTCTACTCCGTACTACCTTTCAAACAATAAATCCTGGGGCCTACATCATCCAGCCTATGAGCGCTCACCTCGTATAGCCCCCCTGCACTCACAACCAGTCACTAGGCTGAACCATGGAACCTCCTTTCTTCGGATCGGATCAGATAAGATGTCCGGTCACAACAGTGGGGGGTACGGAGTAGAATGGTAGTAGATCAGGTCATTCGGAGCAATTGAATCCTCCAGTCCTGTACTCTCAGACCGTAGAGACCGTACATATACGTCCATTCACCCCAGGTCATCGCCCCCAAAGAATACAACGGGGGAAACTCGAGTTCACAGTCATCCACCACGCACAGAAAAACCAACACCGCACAAATATCCCCAAACAAAAACCTAAAAAAAGAAAATCACCACACCCTGGCACTGGCAACAATGCTACACACCCTCCTCCTTATCCTTAAAACCCTCCACCTAACCCTTACACAACTGACCACCCACATCACTCTCGCGCTCGCCCCGCGCCTCCACCGCCTAACCTATCGCGCCGTCCGGGACCCGAAAAACATCGTCGTAGTTGGCGCCTCCTTCGCCGGCTACCACGCCGCCCGGGCGCTCGCCTCCACCCTCCCAACGGGCTATCGCGTCGTCGTCATCGAGCGAAACTCCCACTTCCAGCTCACGTGGGTCCTGCCCCGGTTCTGTGTTGTGGCGGGCCACGAACGAAAGGCTTTCATCCCTTACGGGGGGTATCTTGCGCCTGTGGCGGAGGGGGCATACACAAGGGTTACTGGGGCGGTGGGGAGGATTGTTCTCGGGGCTGCTGCGGGAGGGGGGACAGTCGAGCTGGAGGAGTCGGGCGAGGAGATTGCGTTTGAGTATTTGGTTGTGGCGACGGGAGCGGTGGCTGCGGGTTTACCGTCGCGGGTTGGTGTGAGGACGAAAGAGGAGGGGATGGAGATGCTAAGAGGCGAGCAGGAGAGGATTCGGGCCGCGCGGGATGTGGTCGTGCTTGGGGGTGGGGCGGCGGGGGTGGAGATGGCCGGGGATGTGAAAGAGTGTTATCCCGGGACAAATGTCACGTTGGTGCATTCGAGGGAGAGGTTGTTGAATCGGGGGTATGGAGAGGGGTTGAGTCGGAGGGCGTTGGATGGGTTGCAGGCACTGGGGGTGAAGGTGTTGTTGGGGGAGAGGGTGGTGATGGACGACCAGCTGGAGCGAACGGAAGAGGTCAAGTTGGAGTCAGGTCAAGTGGTAAAGTGTGATTGCTTGGTAGGTCGGGCGTGTATGCTACTGAGCGAGGAGCTGGCTGACGGTTGTAGGTCAAATGTGCCGGGCAAAGGCCGAACTCAGGCTTGGTGAGGGAGGTGTCGCCTTCGTCCATCGCTGAGTCTGGCCATATTCGCGTCCGTCCTACGTTGCAGCTTGTGGACAAGGTCTGCAGTCGGATATACGCAGCTGGAGATGTGATCGAGGCGGATGCGGTGCAGAATGCTCGTGGCGCATTTCAGCAGGCGGAGGTGGTTGCAAAGAACATCGTGCGAGCAATCAAGGGCAAGACTCTTGTCGAGTACCAGCCAAAGTGGTGGGAAAGTGCGACAAAGTTGACGCTCGGTCTAGTGAGTAGGCGCTCCCACTATCTGCAGGCGAGGCTGACGATGTGCAGAACAAGAGTGTGATGTACATGAGTGACGGGTCGGCCGAGTTGGTTCTTTCCACCAAAGGCAAAGAGGAGCTGGATAGTGCCCGCGTCTGGAAGTTCTTCGGGCTGAAGCCTTTTGTCGATGTTCAAAAAGAGAAGAGCATTTGATGGAGGCTCTTTGGATTTCAGCTTCTTTTATGTAACGAGATAAATAGCGTGCCATCTTCCTGTAGGCAAGGACGCCCATTCTCAGCCGGTCCTCTATTTCCGAGCCCGCCGCCGAACGCCTGTCGAGCGCTGATAAATAGCGCAGCATTTGCTGACAACGGTGATTCTCTTTCTTCGACTTGGTCTTGCTTTCTGAAATCAAACGGAGGAAATCTTGTTGATGTTTTCCCCGTGCATCAAGAAATCTTTCTCATAGCATTAACAAGCACAAGATACAATCCAGCAGAGATTCAAGTAACTCTGGGCCATGTGGAGCGACCAGTGCCATGCAAACTTCCATCTTTCCTTCAGTGACGAGGTCGATAGGCGCTTCTTGACAAGATTTGGAATTTTGGATCGCTTTAGAGGGATCATTTTGCTTATCCCGGTTGTTTGATAAGACGGTATCAGGTATGTATCTCTGGCTTTGGTATTGTTGAAGAAAGTTTTGTTGTACTAAAGAAAGTATTGTCAGAGCTGATCGAGAAGTCGATGGTAGACATTCGAGTGTGAGTCAGTTTGTCCTGGTGTAAACATAACATCACCTCAAGGGAAATTCTGACATCAAGAATAGGTCGTGACTTGAACTTTTGTGATAAAATCATACTGCACTCCCGAAAGTTGTATACTCATTGCATCATTCAGAACCGATTCTCCTTGCCAGTTTGATGAATAACCCCAACAGCTAGCTCGACGTATGAATATCGCATCATCTTTGCTTCTCCCAAACGACCGGCCAGCTGTCAAAATAGAAAGGCGGCATGTGCATTGATGGTATTCCAAACTATGAGATATGCTCGGCCTTAGGCCATCAAAGCGTCGGGCCCGTGGGCTTCAGCCTTAACGCCGATGTAATAAGGACATACCTCATAGGGCTAAGTCAACCAAGCCTTGCAACTAAGGTACTGTACCTGTTCAACTAACCAACCAACTTGCCCCGCTCGATTTCCACAACAAGCAAAGCTGACACCCACCTGCACTGTGCATGGATTCGGTGAGATTCGTAATGGCGCTGATACCTCGACTCTCGGCGAATGAGGCGCAGCATGTTATACGAGGCAGGTTTAACCTAACTCAAAAAGTGCCTTCTTTGTTTCTCCTCCTTAACTATGAAGAGTACACTCCCTTGATCACTGCAGGCAGCCTTGTTCGAATTTCTTCTCACCTTCACCTCAGTATTTGCCAATATACGTATGCCGATCGTACTAACCTCCAATGGCAGTCGCTCCCGAGTTATTTGAATTCACCGCGCAGAAACGCTTCCACCAACGGTTCATTCTCCCCGCGACAGCAGATCATGGCCCTCTGGCTGTGACCTATGCTGATGTCGGGCCGCGTCAGCATGAAGATGGAACTCCGGTACCTACGATCTTAGCCGTTCCTGGGATGGCAGGGAGCCGACTATGGCTTTATCACAAAGACCACCTAGCAAATGAGATTGGAGTCAGGATACTGTCTATCGATCGGTGGGTGGCTCGCTCGTATTGATGCAATTTTCCGAGTCGGATGCTAGTCCGATTGCTAAGATTAACAGCCCCGGGATAGGCGGATCAACGCCTGTCCCAATCGAGAAGCGGGTCTCTGTTTGGCTAGAATCCGTTACAGCGCTGCTGGACTATCTGTCAATTTCGCATGTGGTGCCTATTTCGCATAGCGCAGGCACCATTTACCTGCTGAATCTACTTGTGCACAAGAGAGACTTGCTATGGCCACAGACGCCAATCGCAATCCTTCTCGGTGAGTGACAGTGACTAGGTACGATGGTACCTTACGCAGACTTCGCTAACAGATCGGTTAGCCCCCTGGGTCGAACCCAAGCATTCCGATGTGTTGTCCATGCAGATGGCTCAGATGCTTCCCAAGGGGATACTAAATCAGTGGAACAAACTTATTGGATTCACCTTGACCAAGGCAGCACCTACCTTAGGTGCCAGTTCGGGCATCCTGGCGAATATGTCTTCCAGCTTACCCGGAATGGGCAGGAGCCTTGATCCCGAAGAGCATGATGCTTGTCTAACCACATACGGAATGCCTGTAGAAGCTGTGGAGAAGCTAGAGAAGATCACCATGGAGTACATGTTTACCGAAAGCTCCACCGGCATCAATGATGAGGCGATGGTCTGTCTGAAGAAGGGCTCGTTGGGGCTGTGGGGGGCTTGTGAGGATCTCCCGGCTTATGTCCGGCAATTGTTGCAGTCGGAACAGGATCACAAGCAGCATTATCCACAAGAGGCGCCCCTACGGCTGGTTGCTGGTTTTGCCGAGAAAGATAGTATGATCAGCTCTCGGGGGCAGCGGTACTTTGAACAGTGCTTTACGCGTACCGATTTAGGAGGCGGAGTGGCTTTTGAATCCGTGGTAATGCCGGGGACCGACCACGATTCTATCTGGTCAACGCGGACAGGAGTGTTGGAGAAACTCATGTGGGACATCAAGGAAATCGCGCAGTAAATGCCGCAGGAAATCAAGAGTTTTTCGTGTCTCAAAGTGTGTCCTGCGATAACATCAATTAATAATGCATCCGTGCTCACGGCATTTGTCAGCAGCTCCTTCGACACTTCTCTGACGCCATTCTGTAAAGCTTGCTGAGTGCAAGTATAAGAACCATCCCATTGCCCAAGCCTACCATGATACTTGATTCACTTACCAGATTCAATTATTTGTGCCTGCCAAAGCCATCATGAGCCCCTCTACTCTTGTGGTCAAAGCCGACCACCTTCCCTACTACACTCCCGCCAATAATGCCGGCGCTGCCGTTCAACCCCGCGATGCCGCCACGCCGACCCTCTTCCGCCCGCTGACGATCCGCGACGTGACCCTCAAGAACCGTGTCGTGGTCTCGCCCATGTGCATGTACTCCGCTGAGCCCGATCTGTCCTCTCCTCATGTTGGCGCCCTAACCGATTATCACATCGCCCATCTGGGCCATTTCGCCCTCAAAGGCGCCGGTCTAGTGTTCGTTGAAGCGAGCGCCGTGCAACCGAACGGTCGCATTTCCCCTAATGATGTTGGATTGTGGGACACAGCCCCGGGGTCGGAGCAAGTCAAGGCTCTCGAGCGGGTCGTACGCTTCTGCCATGCCCAGGGCGCCAAGGTCGCGGTGCAATTGGCCCACGCCGGACGCAAGGCCAGCACAACGGCTCCTTGGTTGGCCAAGGAGGCCGGGAAGCCAACCTTGAAGTCGGACGAGGACGCATTCGGATGGCCTTCTGATATTGTCGGGCCATCAGGTGGGAAGGAACATATCTGGGACGGCACAGGCGAGGGATACTGGACGCCACGGGAGCTGAGCACGGAGGAGATTGATGAGCTGGTCAAGGCCTTTGCCAGAAGCGCTGAGGCGGCCGTCCGAGCTGGTGTGGATGTTCTTGAAATTCACGCAGCGCATGGATATCTTCTGAACCAATTCTTGAGTCCAGTTACTAACAAGCGGACGGACAAGTATGGTGGGAGCTTCGAGAATCGCACCCGACTTCTGCGTGAGGTCACGACGGCTATTCGAGCGGCGATTCCCAGCGGCACCCCGCTATTTGTGCGCGTGAGCGCGGTCGAGTGGTTGGACGGGAAGGCTGTGGCGGCCGAGTCCGGCACTTGGGATCTCGACAGTACTATTCGCTTGGTTGCGGATCTGCCGGAGCTCGGAGTTGATCTAGTGGATGTCAGCTCTGGTGGTAACCACAAGGACCAGAACATTCACATGAGCAACAAGAATTATCAGGTCGATCTGGCAGGCCATGTGCGCAAAGCCATTCGGGAAGCGGGAGCATCGACACTTGTGGGCAGTGTCGGATACATCACGGAAGCAGAGCAGGCAAAGGAGATCGTCGAGGGAGCGGAAGAGGCTCGCGCAGCGGAGGACACTCTGTCTGGATCATCCCCACGCGCTGATCTGGTGTTTCTGGCTCGCCAGTTCCTGCGTGAACCGGAGTGGGTGCTCAACGCCGCGAAGACGCTGGGAGTCCCCATTGAACACCCGGTTCAGTTTAGGCGGGCCCTCTAGCGGGCCAGAATTAAGGTTATGAGAAACGATCCGACTTTTGTAAATAGATTTGTATGTTCTGAATAGATTTTTGTGTGTGTCTGTCTCATGTTCATATGTTGAGTAAGTGAGTAAGTGAGCTGAAGTATTTCCAGCGGGATGCGGGAAGCAGACGGAAAGCGCCGAGGTCCTCGCGCTTGACCGCATCGGAATGACGAGCTGCATAACAAGTAACAACTCATCAACCGCCACTGTTTCATCGATGCGTTTGCTCCCTTAAGAACGCCAACCCCGCACTTCCTCCTCATCCTCCCCCCTCGTTCTCAATTGACTTTTGCCCAACAATCAACCACAATCCCATCCATCCAACATCACCATGGCCCTCAAACCCGGAGACTCTTTCCCCTCTGACGTTGTGTTCCAGTATGTCTTCATTTTCCAAAGTGAACGGTGAATCTTTACTGAGAATCCATTGGATAGGTACATCCCCTGGACAGAAGAAAGCGGCGAGATTACCGCCTGCGGAATTCCCATCAACTACAACGCCTCGAAAGAATGGGCCGATAAGAAAGTCGTGCTCTTCGCCGTACCTGGTGCGTTCCAATCTACCCCATATTTGCTCTCGAAGCGGAACAATGCGTGCTAAGATGCCGATCCGAATTCATAGGAGCCTTCACCCCCACCTGCTCCATCAATCACGTTCCGGGGTACATCCAGAACCTTCCGCGACTCCGAGAGAAGGGCGTGGAGGTGGTCGCTGTCATTGCCTCCAATGACCCATTTGTGATGAGTGCTTGGGGCAAGGCCAACAACATCAAGGGCGATGATATCGTATGTTCTTCAATCGAGTCTCCTGTTCCCCAACTGACGAGTCTAGCTCTTCCTCTCCGACCCCGATGCCAAATTCGCCAACTCCATCGGCTGGGCGAACGGCGGCCGAACCGGTCGATTCGCGATCATCATTGACCACGGAAAGGTGACCTACGCACAGATCGAGACCGAGAAGGGAGTCAAGGTAAGACGCCAGCTTCCATCCATTGGCGCTGTTTCAGTGATTTGCTAATTTTGAGCATAGGTTTCTGGTGCAGACGCTGTGTTGGCCCATCTGTGAGGATAGTGATATGGATAAAGCAAGTGAAGAAATCTATAGAGAACAGTTTCGTGCCTGCGTCGTGTCTCAGTGGTTGTGGTTCTGTAGTTCTGTAATACCGAAGAGACCAATCCGTCGACCCCCATTTCCAATTGGTTCGAAGCTTATGCGATCGACTCTCGAATCTTCCACCATTATTTGCAGGTGATCCGGGGCAATCAAACATGGCACTGATTAGGATCTTCTGGGTCAGGTCCACGACTCACGGTTATGAGACGTCTTTCAATTAGAAGCCATCAAGCAAGCATTGCTCAGCATGTATTAACCTGATTTTTGGATGTTGGCCCAGCTCAGTCCTAATAAGGTTATCTATAGTCTAATAGCTTAATACCTCGGGCAAGTTTGAGGCGTAGTCCAACATAGATAGAGTAGTCATCTCTCCGCTGCTTGCAAATCCTTCCAAAGAGCTTGTTTCAGTCTCCTTTCGTACCTAGCTTTATTAACGCCCTGAACTTGCTCGAAAAACGTGTTTTCTTACAGCGTAACGTGGGATGAGTGGGTCAACCCCATACGGTGTAAGCAGCTTGCATGAATCCTCGGACTTAAGACCGATTCTCGGAAATACTGGATGATCTACATCCAATCACAATTTGGAATCCCTTCTGGAAACCCAGAGAAAGCAGTGGCATGTTTTAAATTGTGTAAGGGAAAAGAGAGGGAATCCACCCGGGCCAGAATCGAACCGATAGCTCCAGGCCGGCTAATCAGTTTTGAGGAAAGTCTCCTGTGCCCCGCCCGTTCCCGTTCTTTGCTGGCTGAATAATCTCTGTCGAGCTCTTGATGTCATCCATTTCTGGGAGACTGCAGCATCTATATAAACCTCAAAGCAAGAAGCATTGATCGAGGGCCACAACATATAGTCAATTCCACACTAACCATACACACTGCAAGATGGCTCCCAAGGTTCTCGTTGTCCTCACCTCTCAGGACCACTTCCCTGCTAACAACCACCCCACCGGTTGGTATCTGGTGAGGACCCCGCCATCTGCACAAAAATCAATCTCTATGACGATTACCAACTGACCTGTCGATAGCCCGAGTTCGCCCACCCCTGGGAAGTTCTCCATGAGAAGGCTGAGCTGGTCATCGCCTCCCCCAAGGGTGGCAAGGCCCCTCTCGACCCCAGCTCCGTGAAGATGTTCGAGAACGACCCCTCCTCGACCAAGTTCCTGAAGGAGCAGGAGGCTCTCTGGACCAACACCGTCAAGCTGTCCGATGTCGCCTCCAAGGTCTCCGAGTTTGATGCCATCTTCTACGTGGGTGGCCACGGACGTAAGTCTCTTTGTCATCCCAACCTGTCAATTGCCAAAGGTACTGATTCCCACTAGCGATGTACGATCTGCACAGCGATAAGACGTCCCTGGCTCTGATCCAGGAGTTCGCTGCTGCCAAGAAGCCCGTCGCTGCCGTCTGCCACGGCCCTGCTGTGCTGGTTAACGCGACTACCCCCTCCGGCGAGCCTCTGCTTGCTGGTGCGGAGGTCACCGGTTTCTCCAACACCGAGGAGGACCAGGTCGGCCTCAGCCCCATCATGCCTTTCATGCTGGAGACTGAGCTGAACCGCGTCTCCGGCGGCAAGTACGTCAAGGCCGATGAGCCCTGGGGCGAGAAGGTTGTTACCTCCCAGGTCGCTGGTCTTGGTGGCGTTGTCATCACCGGCCAAAACCCGGCCAGTGCTACTGGTGTTGGAAAGGCAATCCTCAGTGCTCTGGGATTGTAATTGATCTGATGTATGAAATGATACCTAGATATGCCGACCTGATAAGTCTAATTAGTGATTAATATACATCTTCCGTTCGCGAGGATTGGTCACTTATGCTTCGAACCATAGACAGCGAGGCGAGATGTGCTTTGATGATCTACATAACTCCACTACTGAGAACCACTGAGAACCACTGTCCGCAGTATGCAGTCTCGTTGGTCTGAGACCTGAGACGTGTTGCCCATATCTTTCCCTTTCCATATCGTCTGGGAATACCTCGCCCGACGACTCTCAGACAGCATAATTTCCAGTGACGGGCCTGTGTCATTCTAGATACCGAGGTTCAGGTCAGGTAACATGTCATCTTGGTTAGGATCGTTCCTTCGCAGATATATCGGAACACATACGCCGGCGGAATCAGACAACGGTCGATCTTTCCTTCATGACGCCAATTGACGTCTAAAACAACCGACTTCTATAAATGGATTATCGGGCTTGACAGAATCTATACTACAATCCTTCTCAGATAGTGCTTTTTCTTATTGTGAGACATCATTTTCAATAGGCTATCATTGATCATTGACCACTGCATCTAGTACGTCTTAGATATCACCATCGCTACCGACATGACCATAGTCCTAGACACCACACTCGACGATCTCTACTCGCTGGACAGCGACGAACCCCAGGGGTGATAACCGCGTACCCACACCCCAGCCTGCCCTCGCGGGCAATGCCTCACCCCTTCTCCTCTGAGCACTTCCTGTACGGTATCACCTTCCCCAACACCACCGCCCCGAACGCAATGCAAAACATCCTCGAGCGTGGCATCGCGCAGCGCTACTCCTTCATCGCCGGCCGCGCGCCCGTCATTCTATTCGACTCGCACCCCGCAACTACCGACGCGGAAACCGGGAACAATCCCGAACCACCCCCATCCCCAGCCATCGCCGACATCCTCACCCTGCAGGCTCAGCTGCACCCCACCCAACGACCAGAGCTACACTTCCCCCGCAACGCGTCCGCCATCGACCTCCCGCCCAACACCCAGATCGCCATCATCGTCCCGCAAGACGAACTCGCCCACCTGCCGCACATCCTACCCCCAGAAACCCACTACCACCTCCTCAGCAAACGCTGGCTGGCGCTCTCCTCCCTCCCGACGCCGACCTCCACCATCATCGACCCCATCATCCCCCCAACCCCGGACCATCCCGCGGCCATCGAAGCAGAAATCACCCGCATGCTCCACCCCATCCAAACGTACCCCACCCTCCCATTCGTCATCAAAGTCTCAGTCGCCGCCTCGGGCCGCGGCACCTTTGTGGTATGCTCCGAAGCCGAGAGGTCCGACGCCTGCACCCGCCTCCGCGCCATCCTGCACACCTCCTTCCCGCACGTCACACCCCAGAACGCCCACCTCCACCCGCTGTCCCTCATCCTCCAGCCGTTCGTGGCGGGCGAGGCCCACGGCATCTCCTTCTTCCTCACGCAGACCGGAAGAGCGATCTTCCACGCGGCCTCGCGGCAGCAGTTCAACGGCCAGGGCCAGTGGTGCGGCGGCTGGGTGTCGTTCCCCGCGCAGCAACGGCTCGAAAAGCGGTACGCGCGGGTCGTGCTCGCTTTAGCGGAGAACTTACATGCGGAAGGGTACTACGGGCCCGTTGGGGCGGATGTGATGACCGAGGAGAACGGGGCCAGACACGTGATTGTGGATGTGAATCCGCGGGTGACGGGGTCGTATCATCTGGGGTTGTTGCGGGGGCATTTCGTGGGGAGGGGCTTAGTGGAAGTAGCGGTTTTGTCGCCTTTGTATATTGTGGGGGACAGAAGTGAGTTTGTGGGGAGGTTTGAGAGGGAAATAGAGGAAGGGAGGATGATTGTCACGGCTTGGGTGCAGGGGATGGACGGGGGGAGGAGTTATGTCGCTGTTACGGTAGGTGGGGAGGATGAGAGACGGTTGAAGAGGCTGGTTAGGGAGGTCGAGGCGTTTGTTCGGGTTGGTGAGGCTGGGGTTGGAGAGTGATAGTATGTACAGTAGTTTACTGGATTGTGTGCTTAGTGAATGGAGAGAGAAGGTAGTTGCATCTATAGTGTCGTTTTCTTCTATTTCAGCCACACCCTGCCTTCGCTTCGTCATGATAGACCGGAAGCACTACTAAACCCCACAGCAGAACATCGCTCTCCACCGATTCCAAGGCCGAGAGCTAGCCATCCATTGCGCCTCGTGACCCAGCCCCTCGCCCTCCCCACCCCACTTCTCACTATATTCCTCCTCGTCCACTGCACCAACAGTCGCAGAGACATCATCCTTATACCTCATCTCCTCCTTCCGCTCCTGAAATCCCCGAATCGACTCCACCACCAACTCAAACTCGCCCTCCTGTTCTCCAAAGAAACTACACCAGCGCAACTATCAGCATCAATCCCTTTCCTCAAAGCAAGACATCCAACCCCACACCGCCAGAAGACCAGGGGAAAAGGAAAACTACTCACCTCCGAACCATAATCCCCACCCTCCGCACCCTCTTCAGATCAAGCGGCTTGACCCCATCCCTAACCTCCCTCCCGCGGTACGTCGGCCGAAATTCCTTCCACGGGAACCGCAGCCTTCCACCTCCCTCTGGGACCGTAAAGTCCACCTCCCACGACACCGAGCTCCGCTCCCGCCCGTCCGGCCGATTCGGCAGGATCTCGTCCTTCAGCGTGAGGGTGTAGCGCTTGTCGTCGGCGCGGGGGACATGCAGTTCCAGCCCGGAGAACCGGGAGAGGTCCCATTCCTTGGTGGTGGTGATGGTGCGTTGCGAGGCGAAGCCGGCGCCGCCGAGGGTGTGGATGTCGAGGGTACCGTGGAAGCGAGCTGTGTTCTTTTTGCCATCGGAAGAAGAAGGCGTGATGGTGAGGTAGGAGTGGGAGGCACCGCCGCGGACGCGGTCGTCGGAGGAGGTCCAGTCTTCGGGGGTCCAGGGACTTTTTTCGGGGGGGGGGGGGGGGGGTGGTTAGTTGGGGGGGGGGGGGTTGGGGGGGTGGGGGAGGGACTTACTTGGGGCCTCCGAAGAGGTAGTTTGATGTTGTGGGTGACATTTTTGTTGTTGATGTGTGTAGTTTCTGAGAAAGAGACAAGGAATTGGGGTACGCGGGGTAGGAATGACAGAGAAAAGGAGGTGGTTTTTCTGGTGGATGTTGTTGATTCAGGTTCCAGAATCGCGGCAATCGGGATCGGTGGGTTTTCGGCATCGATGACGTCGGGATTGCGGAGCCCCGATTGCGGAGCTCGGTTGGGTTTGGTAGCTTCGGTGGATGGGATGGTTTCTTTTACATTTTCCACGATGGGGAGTGGTCCATATTGAGCTTGTTTGTGTCTATCATGGAGAACGGCTCTGCTGTAGCTGTTTCGTGGGATTGGAGCCGTGGAGGACCGGGGGACGTCGATCTGGCCTAGTCTAGATCTTGGAGCTTGGACTTTTGTCCATTCTCTTCGTCCTGTCCGGGCTCTCATCATAAAGACAATCTGCAGGTCGCAGGATTTTGCCTACGCGTATTTCATGCAATACTCTATACGCCAGTTTGATCTCTAAGATTACTGTCGGTATCAGATTCTAGTATCATGATCACCGTCGGTCAAGCTCAGACTCCAGACAAACATGGCGCACTTGAGCGCATCTGGCTTACAGTCTATGGCCTAAACATCTCGTTCTCTAGGAAATACCTCACTCGCACTCAATGTGTTATAGTGAAAACGCGGCAGCGGTATCTAAATCACGAACAGAACGTATGGGTAGTTGATGGAGCGCGGAGAAGACTGGATCAATCAACACTCGGTGATTGTACAGTACATATGGGGCAGACCCAAAGTGAAAGCTAATCAGATATCTTATCGGCTCAAGCTTATCGCATCATGTCATGACAACGCCTGCAATGTGCATTTTGATTGAGATCTGGACACCATGACCATCACGCTCGCCACTCGAATCAGTCATACCCAATGGCCGACAGGGTTCATGTCAACGTCTTCCTGACGCAAAAGATGCATCCCACGGTAGCCACATGCGTTCTATATATCCGGCGGAACGAAACATATCCGACGGATATACATGTAGTACTTGACGTCATGTCTATGTAGTCTCAACCACTGCGTATATCAACAATCGAGACGCCTCATCGACTGTGGTGGTAAGCTACTGTATCAATCAGTATCTCCTGAGATCAAGTACTTTAAAACCAAAATCACCTACATCCAACAACCCGTTCCATAACAAACGTCATTATGGTTGCACACTCTGGAGGTATTACGAACGGCCACCCTGGCTCGGTTCGGTAAGTCATACTGGATATTTCTCTTAAGGGGTAAGAGACTGACTACTTCATTTATGTAGTTCCCGAAATCTCGCCCTATTCAGTATCTTTGGCATGATTGCCGGCGCCGCTCTAGTCTTTCGCGCCCAGTCCCCCAGCAAGGATGAGAAGCTGTTCTCAAACAAAGAAGCCCAAACGATGGTTGGTGGGCAAACGGGAGAGGACCGAGTGGGACGGGCACCAAGCCATCAGCCCAAGAACTGATCTGAAGGATTACTATGAATGTTATGATTATGGAGATGTGACTTTACTGTACTTGTATATAAATCGAATGGCTGGGCTGTATCGCATGGAACATTATTGTTGATGAAGTCTTTCTGTTGTAATATAATGAACAATACTTCCTTCGCTATGAAATGCTATACAACGCTATCCCAACGCTCGATGAACATAAACCCCAACCTCAAGATCAGTGCCAATACTTCGGCGTAACCCCCTTGATCAACCCCCACACCTCCTCCAGCACCTTGACCACCTCCTCCGGCAACGGCTCCTTCTCCAGATCCACCAGATTCTCCTCCAGATGCCGCACACTGCTCGCCCCGACAATAATCGCATCCTCCAGCTCCGCCCGCAACTCGGAATGATACTTCAACCACCGCAGCGCCACCTCTGCCACCGTCAGCCCCAACCGCCCACACACTTCCTGGATCTTCTCCAGGGCATCAAAGTACGTATCATTCCAGTACCGGCCCCGCGCGACCGCTCCCTGCACGATCGTCGGATCGAACCGCGACCCAGCCTCGAACTCGGTCTGCTGGCGCGTGTACCGCCCCGTCAGGAACCCGCCGGCCAGGGGCTGGAACGCGTACAGCGCGATGCCGTACTTCCTTAGACACGGGACAAGCTCCGCCTCCACGCTGCGCTGCAGCGCGTGGTACACCCCCTGGTAGACCGTCGGGCGGATCCAGCCGTGGCGCGCGCAGATCTCGCAGATCTGCGCCACCTCCCACGCCATGAAGTTGCTGAGGCCGAAGCGCGCGAAGCGACCCTCCGCGTGGAGTCGGTTGACCTCGCGCAGGGTCTCCTCGAAGGGCACGCTGCGGTCCGGCCCGTGCAGGTAGAACAGGTCGATCGTCGGGGTGTCGAGGGCGCGCAGGCTGTCCAGCAGGCCCCGCCGGACGTCCTCGGGTTTGTGTGTGTAGGTCTCCACGTTCGGGACCTGGCTGCCCGCGTTCGGGTACAGCTTCGTGGCCATGGTCAGGCCGCGGGATTGCCAGTCGAGGGCGGCGAGCATTTCCTCCGAGGAGCCGTGGCCGTAGAGTCGCGCGGTGTCGATCTCGCGGTGGTTGTGCCCTTGGAAGGTGTCTAGGATGGTCGATGCTGTTGCGTTGTCAAAGACGCGCGCTCCGAGGGTGTCTATCTCTCGGTTAGGGTTGTGTTTGGTTAGTGCAAGGTGGGTGGATGCGTACTGGGCTTGCCAAATGTCATGGCGCCGAAGACGATCTTGAGGTCTGTGTTGTTGGCCATTGTTGCTATTGGCTTTTGGTTGTGATGGTGAATGTGAGACTGTAGTCACTTGATTTCTGGGGCGGAAGCACTCCTTATATACTTCATCACGGATGATGCTCACTATCTCCTCGCGTCAGCCTGGAGGTTATTTCCGTAGGAGATAAGTCGATGGCAGCTAACTCCGGCTGCCAAGCCTAACGCTCGAATTGCTGAATACTGTGCACAGAAGGCATTTAATGAAGTCGGTTTCAAACACGGATCGTGGCTGAGACTTGCTACGTCACTTACCAAATTACAAGCCCGTGTGGTTGCCCTGTCGTGTTCATCTCACCTGCAGCTGCGGATATTTCCGCAAATGCCAAGACGAACGCCAGACAGCCGAGCAATCAACAGATGCTTGATTCGACTTGACGAGGTCGTTGACAGTATGTCAGAATCTCAGAATAAATGAGACCATGTTCTCGACTCTCTTATTTCTTAGTTCTCTTGTGCAACCCAAAACAAAATCCGCCGCGGGTGTACAAATGACATGCCGATCACAGATCAACAGCCGTCGGTGTCCTTGTCGTGCGCCGATCTTACGTCCGAGCTTATCTCCGCAGCTGGGATGGATCAGGACTGTAGAATTCTGTGATAGGGCTGTCGATCGACATCCTTTGTTTCTGAGGTTGCTCTCAGTCTTCATGGACCCTGCAGGACTTATTTGATGAGCTAGAGTGGGTTATGCATTGGATTGGTGTCGGTGTTGCCACAGTAGCCCCATGCTAATTGATGCAGCTGTTAACTTATGCGTGGTGCTACCTCCGTCCCTTCCACTACCATCCCCAAGACTGCTTGTAGAAATATTCGTCATTTGAACAAAGCCATATGTAAATTGTGCATCGAAGTCAAACAGTTTCAAAATGATGGCAGTTTCAAAATGATGGACATAATATTGAACCTCAAACTTCTCCTCTGTGGTGCTTTGAAGCATTAATTTCCAGTAATATATAGGTAGTGATCTACTTTGCAATCCAGGAAGGCATCATGCAAATAGCATTTTTGCCATGACAGGCTAGGCCCGTAATCTGTACGGAGTTTCAAGCCAATATATAATTTCTTTCTCTCCATAAATTCATGCCTCGAGGGCCTATTTTCGGACTCAGACCACGCTATGCGTCTGTAAGTCCATGTAAATAAACCGAGGCTTGACAAGGCCGATTCCGGAGCGCTGGGTTCCGATCGCCGGACCCGCAGTAGGGGAAAAAGATCAAGCGGCAGGCTGCCATCTCAGGAAGACTGATTGTGTAATAAAGATACTGAGTACTCCGTAGCTTAGGCACGAATCATGGTCTTTGAGTTTGAGATGGGGTCAAATAGATACGGTCTAATTGCTAAGGGGCTACGGTGATTATGCTTATTATGGGGTGGTCCGGAGCATCTGGCCCGAGCCGTAAACCTGGCTCGCTGATTGGTGCCTCTCGCCGGCCCGGTCGAAGCTCTGATTTAGCTCAGTTGGTTTGTTTTGGAGGCAGCAATTCATCGACTGGTCTATTCACCATCCCTCTAGGCTCCTTCTCCTAGCACGCCATTTGGAGGCGTGAAAAACAATCAACAACATTTGCTCTGACTTTCATAGGGCAGAAGAGACTTTGCATCGCAAAATACGCCCCAAATGACGTTTGGCCCTCGATGCATCAAGCATGCCATTTCCCTTGGATGACCACCACCATCATCTGACATGCGTGAACTATCGTCTTCCAATTGAGGCCTCTATCCCCCATCTCTCTCTCTCTCTATCGGGCTCGGGGAATTCCGAGCGGGGTATGACAAGCCGTGCCTCACGGGCTGGCCACGAGCTTATCTGTTGCCACGACGGCTGCCGCTGGACTGCACCACCACTCTTGGCAGGCGGAAAGACCTTCCACTCGCCGTGTCAATGCTTGTCTCCTCCTCCTCCTTACGTGGGGTAGATGGTTGATGGCTGCATGGTGGTCTGACGGCAACTAGCATAGTTGACTCCGCTTTGGATGGCGTGCGACGCTCGTGGTTCGTCGTGCTATCAGCTTGAGTTGTTGAGAATCCAACTAAACTACGCAAGCAAAACCGCCCGCCAGGCCCGGATGCAATGTACAGCGTTACCCACCTGCTGTCCGTTCTGATACCTGCCTTGCTTGGCCAATCAAGCATAGAGCGGTATCAGAATGTCTCCTACTATCTTGACCTTGGCTGGCAAGCTAGATAAGCCCTCTATATGGAGCGGTCTCAATATCTGCCCTGTTACAATCGAAAGAGGTGAATGAAAACAGACTTCAGGATGACCTTTCCATGCATTAAAGCAAGAAGTAAGGGTTGCATGAGTACGGAGTACTAGGTAAGGAGTAAGACCTCTGGGCTGTGGCAGGGAAATGTCTAGGGCGGATGGTGTGCTTTTAGGCGTTGTTGCCATATCGGGTGGGTCTATCGTAAGCCAGCATCTGCAGACGCCCTCCAACTATTGCAGCCCTGCATCCCTTCTTCTCTGTATCGCTGCTGCACGATAGACAGTGTGCAGCGTCCGCCCGCGGTGGCGATTAGATATCGAATCCATCGTCTACTATAAATGGCTGACGGTCGGCTCGGTCGCATACTGTCGCCCCTTGGTTCGGGTTCATCGCTGTGACGCTTCAAACTCACCACCATGGCTTCAGAAGTCGTTGCCACCGGCAAGCCCAAGGATGAGATTGAGACACACTTGGCAGGAGTAGACGGCGATGGGAGTAGCCTGGAGCGCAACGAGGAGAAGGAGGAGGTGAACGTTGCCGAGATCCGAGAAGTCACTGCAGTTGAGGCCTTTACCTGGAATGTCGATGGCGATCAATCACCATGTAAGTGGTTCTGATGGGCGCGGTTCGTTCGATCAATGCATTGCACATACTGATCGCCTACACGCTGCGCAGTTCCCGAAGTAGCTGCTTGTGTTCCTAACACGGATGATCCTAATACGCCATGCAACAGTCAGTACACCAGAGTGTTGAAGTTGGTTTTGGACCCATACTGATATTTTGCAGCGGTGCGCGCCTGGGTGCTGACCACAGTGTTTGTCATGATTTTCGCGGCTGTCAATCAATTCTTCAGTCTCCGTTATGTGCGTCCCGCTTGCTTCTTTCTGCGCATGAGGGCAAAGACTAACAATACTAGCCATCGCTCACTCTCCAATATGTCGTGGCTCAGCTGTTGGTCTTTCCGGTTGGCAGGGCATGGGAGAAGCTTCCGCGGTGGAGGGTTCCCCTGGGCAGATTTACGTTCGACATCAATCCCGGGAAGTTTAGCATCAAGGAGCATGCTCTAATCACTATTGTGAGTTTCTGGCGCGATCTCCTAGCCGTTTTGTAGGCTCATCTGACTTGCCATCAATAGTGCGTCAACATTAGTGCCAGCACGGCATATGCCTCGGGCTCTCTTGTAGCCATCACGATGCCCCAATACTGGAATCGTGATTTTGGGGCAGGCTTCGCCTTTATCTACCTCCTGACGTCCCAGATGCTAGGGTGAGATTTGCTCCCGTCGCTGGTGGTGACCCTGTCTAACTAAAACAGTTTTGGGCTCGCTGGCCTTGCGCGTCGCTGGCTCGTCTATCCAGCTGCCCTGATTTGGCCGTCATCGCTGTCGTCGACGGTGCTGTTCCGAGCACTCCATGAACCGGAAAGTCGCGCAACAGTCAACGGCTGGAAGATGAGCCGTTATCGCTTCTTTGCCTATTTCACTGCCATCGGCTTTGTGATCTACTGGTTCCCAGACTACATCTGGACCAGTTTGAGCACGTTCGCCTTTGCCACCTGGATCGCCCCAAAGAACCAGAAGGTCAACACCATCTTTGGG